CTCAGCACTGACCCTCTGACAGTGCGGCGCTCCCTCAGCACTGACCCTCACACAGTGCGGCGCTCCCTCAGCACTGACCCTCCGACACTGCTGTGCTCCCTCAGCACTGACCCTCCGACAGTGCGGCGCTCCCTCAGCACTGACCCTCCAACAGTGCGGCGGTCCCTCAGCACCTATGGTTGACCCTGAGTTTGATGATGAGCCCCTACAGTTGGAACCTGAACCAAAACGATTGTGACTGACAGAGCTGCTAATTACTCAGAGTCACACTGGTGGATATTTGGCCTCAGTTCTGTACTGGCTTTTTTTCTCCACACAAACCTTCTGCCCTCAGAATAACATTCCAATGCACCCTGTCTCCTGTCTTTTCCAGTTTGTCTGTTAATCTATCTCCACTGTAAGAAACTACAGAGAGTTGTGCACACAGCCAGTCCATCACCCAAACCATCCATTGACTCCATCTACACTTCTCACTACCTCGGGAAGGTCACCAACGTCATTAAAGAGCCCTCTCACCCCGGTTATAATCTCTTCCAACCTGTTCCATCAGGCAGGAGATATAAGTCTGAATATATATGCAAACAGATTGAAGAACAGCTTCTTCCCCGCTGTTATTAGACTTCTGAAAGGACCTCTCAAATTTCATATTTAATGTTGATCTCACTCTGTGCACGTTCTCTGCAGCTGTAACGTTGTATTCCTCCTGTGTTCTGTAACCCTAATGTACTTTGTATGGTATGATCTGCCTGTACCGTACACAAAACAAAACATTTCACTGTACCCAGGTACATGTGACAATAAAAAATCAAATCAAATCATAAACCTCAGCCCCCTCCCCATGACAGTGAACTCCATACTCTATAACACAAGGGCACCTCGCTCCCTGTTCACACCTACCTCCCTCTGCTTATCCCGCCCCACCCAACAAGAACTCCATGCCGCACTGTTTAACCAGCCACTCCCTACCTTCAGAAACAGCAAGAGGCCGGAGGAGGAGCGAGAGCAGGAAGTGGGAGAGAGGGGAAACTGAGGCCTGTCCATCCCAGGCTGATTGAGGTAAGGGATCAGAGGGGATATGTTAATCTATAGCAGGCTGTCAGCAATGTGCCACATGAATTCCTCTCACCGTCTGATTCAAAGCCGGGGTAACCTAGCCCCTGAAGGAACTGCTGCTGGTTCAAAAACACAGACAAGTTTTAACAGGGAGAGAGAGAGAGAGAGGGAGAAAGCTTCAGATTCTGTCAACAAACAGTGGGAACCATCTGCAACTATTGACCTGAGTGACAGCTGTTACTAATATTAGATTTTGCTTATGGCTGGTTTGGTTTTAGAATTGAAGGCCATTCTACAGGGATTTCCCCCCCATGTCCTGCACTTTAACTTCTCCAACTCCTTCTGCCCCACTCTGATCATATCCCCCTCCCTCTTGTTCACACATGGTCACATTCCCTCTGTTCTAATTCACTGGGGCTAACCCCTCCCACACTGCCCAGGCTGACACCACCCACCAACATCGCCCAGGCTAACCCCCGCCACATCGCCCAGGCTAAC